ATTTTATCTTTTTGTTGTTTATATTTTTGTATTTGTATATTGTTTCAATCTACCCCACTGGATAGTGTTTCCTGAGGCACTATTCTTTTGTGTTTTGAATGGCAGGCTGCCTAGAAGTGTGGGTACATTTTAATATCTCCTTGTTGACCAACCACCCAGTGCCATTTACTTGGTTTGAGACCTTAATCTATGTTCTTTGTTTGAGACCCCAACAATTAATAAACCCAGGAGAATTCTTTTCTTTCTTACTGTATACTCAGTTCTTTGCTGGGGTTCTAAACAACTTGAAAAGATGGCCCCTACAACTGTTTGGGGACAGAAGAGCAAAGCACTGGGGATAAAAATGGGGAAAAAAATCATAAAATACTAAATTACCTGGTAATGGACAGCAATACTACAATCATTTACAGGAATACATGATTGATGTCGTTTGGGTAACTTAGGAATTTCATGGAAAGAGAAAACTGAACTAAAATCTTGAAGCGTTTGTATGGGTGGAAAACAAGAGAAGATTCTGGGAGCTTGGGAAAGTACAAGTAAACCACAGCAGTGGAAATGACAAATATGTTGTATTCATTTTTACACTGCATGGAGAGTAGGACCTAGTGAGGTCCCCTAAATGATTGTAGAAGTGGGGAGTCTTGGGAAATCAGGTTTGATGAGATCGGCGGGTGGTGGCGGGGAAACAGAGGAGAAGGGACATGGAAGATACACATTTTGAAGATGAAACCAACAGGACTGACTTATAATAATCAAGCCCTTACAGTTTCAAAGTGATTTCACTATATTGTGTCCTGGTCTGGCATTCCTTCTCACAGAATTGGTGTCAGGATCAGCAGTGGCTCTTAACTCCATCATACCAATGTCCCCTTTTTATGACCAGTATTTCAGTGAAGGCTTTACTCTCCTCAAATGAAATTCATTATTAATTTAATATAATTGCCATAATTTTGAAAATATCAACATAACACTTTACTGTGAATAAAGGAAACTTCAGAGAAGTGGTTAAAGTATACATTATAATATGTAAAAGCCCAGACACGACTATACCAGAAGACATAATGAAGTGGTCAGATACACCTATATGTGGGGTGACGGCTACTAATGCAGACCCATAAAGATGTGTTAATAACTCACATACCGCAGGTGGCACGGGCTTCAGTGACACGATTCTGCAAAATGGTGGGTGACTCTTGCTAAAGTCCCAAACAGGAGGAAGTACAATCTTATCTCAATTATTCAGTAGTTGCATTCCCAAGAATTCAGAGTGTGTTAAAAACCATGCAAAAATACTTTGGTAAGTACATGAAACAGAGTTATGTTCTGTGCTCGAATAATTATAAACGGGTTTCACCTATGAAAATGTCTCTTGGCACTTTGGAAAATCTTGCGGATGTGGGACAACTTCTTTATTGTGCAAGACTGAGACATTTCAGGACATCTAACATTCCTGGTCCCTAGCCATTAGATGCCAGAGACCAACCCCCCACCCCATCACTGTGACAACTAAAAGTGCCCCCAAGGTTTCACAGCCTGAGAGAAGAGTACCCACTGAGAACCACTGGCTGGATGCTGGCTCTTAGGTTTCAGCCTCATGACTCAAAGACGGTGACAGATAAGGAAGTTGGGAGGGGGAGGATTTGGATGTTGAGCCAGAAAAGGAGTTGGCTGCAGTGCTTTCTTCCTCAGCCAAGGAGAGCCTTCACTTTCCTAAATTCTTCAAATCTGGCTCTTCCAACCTCGTAAGAGTTTCAAGTTCTGAGCCCAGATAGAAGATAAAGTGAGGGAAAAAAGATGATATTTCGTAGTAATAAGTGCAAACCCTGTTTGACTTATTTACCGTAAGAGCCAAGAAACCCAGTCTAATCCCCTGCCCTCCACATTGGCTCATTGGTAGGCATATACCGTGTCTCAAGAGTTCAGGAGAAATCTAGTTCTAACATGAATCCTTGAAACATTTTTGAAATTTAAGCCTTGTTATCCTTTAAACTATAGGTGTGATCTCATTCCATTTGTTTTCAGTTTTATAAAGTATGCAATAACGTCTAATCCCTCTTGGCATTTGCATTTTGCACAATTGAATGTCTTCAGCAGATGTGCACGATGGTCTAGTATTAGCACTCTGCCTGTTGCCTTTTGCTTGGGAGTCTTAAATCAAACAAATCAAAAGGGCTTGATTTTCTTAGAGTACTTTTTAGAAGATTTCAAGCCTTAGATTTTCGTTTAACAGTGATAACACACATACACCTTTCACAAGTCTGAATGTGCTGTATTTGATTTGTAAATAGTCATTTAGCCCAAAGATATTGGGCATACTTCAAATGCAAGCCAGTGAATGATATTCCAAGAACATAAATCTGTTTGCAGCCTTATTTCAGGACCAAGTTTATCCATTTGTCAATCAGATGCATACTATTCACAGGATAACAGGTTAGGCACATTGAGGAAATCAGAAGTGAACAGACACTTTAGAGCCTCAAGGTGTCTATTATCCAGTCCAGGGATGATACAACCTCACATATACAATCATAAGCAGAAGGTGAGATGAAATACTGATGGAGTCTCTAGGGATGAAATAGTACTTTCCTCTGAAGAAGGCTTCCTGGAGGAAGTGAAATTTTTAACTTGATGATTTTAACGATTCATTAAAATCTTGACAAGCAAGACACTTTTTGAGGACTGGTTTTTTTGAGCTGAACTAAATGTGAGCAGAATTTTTGTGTGTATGTGGCTTCCTATCACTTAATATTATGCATTCTCCATTTATTGTCTGGATGTAATTAAGTGACTGAATAATTGGTAATAATTGCTACAAAGAATCTCGTTTGACATTTTTATCTTTTTGAAAAAGTCCTCTAATTTAGGAGCTGAATCTAAGCTTTGGTTTTTCCATTGAGGAATTCAACTTTTACAGCTCCAGATTTCAACCAGAGCTATGTTTGAAAACTCCGGGATGTACCTTAAGCCTTATTGAGAGTAAGGTGCAATCAGACATAAGGCAGATCTGTCAGGATGGTTATACAAAGGGTTCAGCCACTAAGGTAGGAAAATGGTCTTGCTACCAGGTGTTTTCCATGTATTGAACTTGAAGACAACGCAGACACCGAGCCAGAGCACCCAGGACTCTCTGTGGTTCCATGCCCTCCCCATTAGACTGTCTGCTTCCTGGGACTTGGGTCTAATTGCTTCTGCTCCCAGGTTATTAAGGTCCATCTCCCAGCCCCTCTGGCCTCTGCCTGTACCACTTACTGCAGGCTGGAGATTTGACTAAGAGCAAGTTATTCAACATGAAATTTGGCCCAGATGACATGTTTGTCTCTTGAGATATCCGCACCCCAGTTTTCATTGTAGCATTATCTACAATAGCCACAACATGGAAACAATCCAAGTGCCCATTGGATGGGTGAATGGATAAAGAAAAGGTAGGATCCAATGGATATGTATACGTATCCCCTGGAAATGTAAGATTCCATATATTCCACATATATACATGTACACAATGGAATATTATTCAGCCATAAAAAAAGAAATCCTGCCTTTTGTGACAACATGGATGGATCTTGAGGATATTATGCTAAGTGAAACAAATCAGACAGAGAAAGATACATACTGTATGTTCTCACTTTTCAGAGTCTAAAGAAGCCAAACTCATAGAAGGAGAGAGTAGAATGGTGGCTACCAGGGGCAGAAGGTGGGGGAAATGGAGAGAATATTGGTCGAATGGTACAAATTCCCAGCTGTAAGATGAATAAGCTCTGGGGATCTTAATGTATAGCCTGGTGACTATAATTAACAATGAAAGCTGGTAAGAGAGTAGATCATAAATGTTATCATCACACACAAAAAAATAGTATATTCTGTGAGGGAATAGAGGTGTATCAAATCATCGCATTGCACATCTTAAACGTACGTATGCTATTTGCCAGTAATATCTCAGTAAACCCGAGGAGGGGAAAGACATGTTTGTCAAAACTTAATTATCCTGTGTTGGAAATGTTTTCTCTCTGATCTGGATGGTAGGTATAGGTATATAAATTCTTCAAGTTACAGTCTTAAGATTTGCGCATTTCATGTATGTTATATGCCAACAAAAAATGTAAAAATAACAATAAATAAAAACCACTGAAGTGTTGTCAGTTTTGGTCTATCCGGGGGTAATTTTGCAATGGTATGTGCATTTTCAAGCATTTAAAAATAAATTTTTAGTGTTTTTCTTTAGTGTTCCTTTTAAAATTCTTTTCTAGTCAATTACTTGAAATAACCCAAATAGCTAAGAGTGGAAGATTTATAGTAATAACTACTTGTACCTCAAAATTGCAAACAGCTTAGTGGAGCAATAATTGCACCCTCCCCCCACAAAAGTTTGTGAAACAAAAGAAAGGAGGAAAAAACAAAACTTTTGGGCAAAGAGGATGAAAATACTTGTTGCAGAACCACCTTTTTGATGCTTCAAGATTTCCAACATTTAAATACCTAGAATTTGGTGGTAGTGTGACTAAATCATCATTTTGACCAACGTGTTGTGTTTACCAACTTGCATGCAGTCTCACACTTTTCAGCCAATTTTCCCAGCCACCCCTACCCCTCCTGCCCAGCCTCCATCCTGATGTCTGTAGCTTTGGGTTCAAATTCAGACCGAAGTCTAGTGGTGAGTGAAAATTACTGATGATGTCAAAGGGAACAAAAATAGAACTTACAGGAAAGTCTTTACCTTTAGCTGTGGTTGTCAAGGTTCAAGTACCAAAAAAGACAGAGACATTCCCTTCTGAGAGAGAGCTTTTCAAAAACAACAACAAAAAATTTGATGTCACTAAATTATAGCATTAAATCTGTAAAGTCAAAGAACTGTACATAAATTAAATTTGAGTTTCTTCTCCCCAACACACCCAGCCAGTCTCATCATCTTGGATGGATTTACTGATGGGATCGAGTACTTCTTAACATTACTATTTTTTTTAAAGATAGCCATTGAGCCTAAATGAACTCTTTTGTTGGAACAGGACAGCTGGGAAGTGGTGGAAGGACTGAGGGGAGAGCTGAATTACACACAGGAGCCACCAATTCAGAAAGGATTTTTGCTGAAAAAAAGGAAATGGCCCTTGAAAGGCTGGCACAAGGTAAGAACTGGCCTGGGACGCACCTTCGTTTGCACCTACACTCCCCACTCTGGACCCGGTTCTTAAGCACTTACATTTAATTTGAAGTTGAGCATGGAGACTAAGAGAAGGATGTTTAAATGGAATGTCTTTTTTTCTTTTTTTTTTTTCTTTTTGGCTGCGTTGGGCCTTCGTTGCTTCGCGTGGGCTTTCTCTAGTTGCAGCGAGCGAGGGCTACTCTGTTGCGGTGCGCGGGCTTCTCATTGCGGTGGCTTCTCTTGTTGCGGAGCACGGGCCCTAGGCGCGCGGGCTTAGTTGCTCTGTGGCATGTGGGATCTTCCCAGACCAGGGATCAAAACCGTGTCCCCCGCACTGGCAGGCGGGTTCTTAACCACTGCACCACCAGGGAAGTCCTGGGAATGTCTTAATGAATTCTGCTTTATTCCCCACAGAGATTCTTCTATCTGGACAAAGGAATCTTGAAATATGCCAAGAACCAAAGTGATGTAAGTCGTCTTGTTAATCCAGTATGCTATTGAAGAATTCTAAAGGGCTAGTGGTTGTCAGCTCATGGATGAGATTGTGCATATTTGAGAATTGCATTTCCCTAAACTGGAGATCAGGGAGGGGTGGTGGTTCCCTCTCAGGGAGCAGAGGTACCTGCTTCCCGCTGTCCCTGCTCTGGGTTCTGGGTGGGCTCAGTTCACCCACCAAGTAGACGTGCAGGAGCCCCTATCAACACCCTACTGGGTATCCAGGCATGGGTTCTGGTCTTAGGGTTGTGCTGTGGGGTTCTCTGGGTGGGGGAGACTTCTTCACAGTGAGCTAACAGGAACAAAACAGAGAGTGTGTCCCTCCCACTGTCATGGGGACTGAGGGGTTTAGTGGAGAAGGCCCTTGGTGAAGGTGACGGGAGGTTCCCCTGTGTGTGGACACCAGGCGGACAGCCCTTGAGGACTCGGAATGACTACTGGTCCTGCCCTCGTAGGGGTCCCTCTCTCACCCAGCACTTCTCTCCTCCTGTCTTCCTCTCTTCACCTCTCTCACGGTGCTCACCTTGTTGGGGCAAATACAGAAACGTGCCATAGTGCCTGACCCACAGTGGCCTGTATTAGCTTCCTTACTCCTCTTTTAATTTTTATTTAAAAATTTTTTTTTTAGTTTCTTCAGCTTTTAAAGAAATTTTAAATTAATTACTATTGGATTATAGTTGATTTATAATGTTGTGTTAGTTTCTGCTGTACAGCAAAGTGAATCAGTTATACATATATCTATTCTTTTTTAGATTCCATTCCCATACGGGTCATTACAGAGTATTGAGTAGAGTTCCCTGTGCTATACAGTAGGTCCTTATTAGTTATCTATTTTATATAGTAGTGTGTATATGTCAATCCCAGGCTCCCAATTTATCCCCCACTTCCCATTTGGTAACCATATTACTCAGCCATAAAAAAGAATGAAATAATGCGATTTGCAGCTACATGGATGGACCTAGAGATTGTCATATTGAGTGAAGTAAGTCAGACAAAGACAGCTATCATCTGATATCGCTTATATGTGGAATCTAAAAAATGGTACAAATGAACCTATTTACCAAACAGAAATGGAGTCACAGATGTAGAAAATAAACCTACTCCTCTGTTTAAGTCACTTCCAAATGAATTTAGACACCGGAAACTATTTCTGCAGGAGGCGGTAAAGTTAACAGGTGAATTCACTGTCATAGGAGTCACGGGGCTAACTTTTTAGTTTCCTCACCTTCTTGCTTCCTCGCTTAGCAATGTGCAAACTGCTTGTTACTTAACCCTCTGTAATTCAGTCTCCCGTCTGTAAAAGGGGAGATGTTTCCTCCCTCACAGGTTAACTAGGATGACGTGTGTATAGCACTAAGCTCCGTGCTAGTTCACGCTAAGTAGCTGCATGGCTGCATTGATGTCGGGCTCTCGGTGATGTCTGTGAAGAAGTCGTCAAAGTGCATAGATCTAGACACCGAGGAGCACATTTATCATCTGAAGGTGACACTGCTTCCCAGATGCTGTCTCCTGTTGCACAGAGTTCCTTTATGTTGTGAAGGGATTGTCAGTTATAGTACCGTTGGTGATGCCTTTCGCATTTCAAAACATCCAGCCAACATGCAGAGGATCTTCATTATGAAAGTATTTCTAAGGATATATCTATTGATATCTGGATGGGACAGTTCTTCATTGTGTAGGACTGTCTCTTACACTGCTGAACATTTAGCCTCCTTGTCTCTTATCCCCTAAATCCCCCCCTCCCTTGTGACTGTGACATCAGTAACAAAAAAACAAAAAACAGAAAACGTCATGTTTCCAAATACAAACCCCCTCTACCCCCAGGCAGTACCATCTTTAGTGAAGAACCATTTACCATAGGTTAAAATGTTTCCTTGGGCTTCCCTGGTGGCGCAGTGGTTGAGAATCTGTCTGCCAATGCAGGGGACGTGGGTTCGAGCCCTGGTCTAGGAGGATCCCACATGCTGTGAAGCAGCTTGGCCCGTGAGCCACAACTACTGAGCCTGCGCGTCTGGAGCCTGTGCTCCACAGCAAGAGAGGCCGCGATAGTGAGAGGCCCACACACCGCGATGAAGAGTGGCCCCCGCTCGCTGCAACTAGAGAAAGCCCTCGCACAGAAACGAAGACCCAACACAGCAAAAATAAATAAATTAATTAATTAACTCCTACTCCCAACATCTTCTTTTAAGAAAATTTAAAAAAAAAATGTTTCCTGAAATAAAATATGATCTTTAGTCTGAGAAGCCCCATCTTACAACTTTGACTAAATTTATAGGGATTCCATTAAAATTCTCATACCACAGTGATGTCAAAAATTTTTCCCCTAAAGGATGGGTCTCCAAATAGTATCTCTGAAAGCTGCTTAACTACCCTCTTCTGCCCCTTCTCCTGCAGGTGGTATAGATAGTTAAAAGCATGAAGGAAGAGCTTTGGAGATACAGATCTGGTTCAGATCTTGACTGCCTGGCTACTTACTAGCTTTCAGCCTTTGACAAAGTATTTAATCTCTGAAAGTCTCAGTTTTCTCACCACCCTCCCACCCCGACAATGGGAGTTCCAGTGCTTGTCTTGTAGGGCTGCATGTAGAAAACTTGACATAATGCCTGACCCACAGTAAGCTCAATATGTTTATGTATTATATATAACTATTAGGTGGTAGCCGAGTGTTAGAAATTAATTGAGAAAATGTTAAGAGTCTTTTCTTACTTGCACAAATTACTTGGAATATTGGGAGTGGGGGCTGTGCTTTGGGAAAATAAAAGCATGAGATTATGAACTCCCCATCTTAATGTGTCCCTGTCCTCCCCATAGCACGTCGTGGTACTTGGGCAAATACATGCTTAGCACATACATGGGCTTGATTGCCTCCACGGCAAAGATGTCTCCAGCCCACCCTGTCGATGTGCCGAGGGTGAGAAGCCCTGCTGTACGCAATTACCTACAGCCACAGGCATAGGGGCTTAGGCTTGGGGAATAGTACATATTTGACTGTCCTGGGCAGTCAGTTAACAACATCTGGGAAATGAAATACATTTCAAGAACATAATTTTTAAAGGGGACAAATAGATGTGAGTCTGTTTGTGTTGCTTCTACTTGTAAACGACACATCCAGTAGCACCTGGAGGGGTTTTAAGTCTTGTGTGTACTTCTAATCAACATAGCAAACATAAACACCGACCGAACACTTCCTAAGTGAAGGATGTTGCTGACATTTATTTCCACATCCTTGCTCTCAGTAGCAGCATTAGTAAAGATTTTAACTGAATTGACCTGGATTTTTCTTCTTGGAAGTTAACCTACCATACATCCTTTTGAGGTCTTTTAAATTGCCACTTCATGAGTCTCTGTGTTCTCGTATATAGATATCTATGATTTTTCGTTTGGAAAGCATTAACACACCATCATGCACACACAAATATTGACTATTAAGAAATATCTCTGGTGCATAGGTGCTTGTTATATTCTTCTTAGTACTTTTAAGCACATTTGAAATACTTTATAATAAAAGTTACTAGATACAAACATTACTCTTCATAGAAATTATACATTGATAGTCACTCCTGGAGAGAATGGCTAAAAGTTTGTGTATGTGTGTTTGAAAAATCCTGGAAAGGACTGATAAAACTTTATCAGTTTCTTGTTTTCTAAGAGTGGGAGAAATGTCCTTTTAAGTAACCTTCACATTCATTAACATATATTCCTCAGCAACATATTCTTTGTCAGAGAAGATTAACAAGATTAAATATTTTAGGAAGAATTTATTAATTCATCCCAGTTCAGAGAAGATTGGTCTGAAAAGTCTGAATTATAAAAGAGTTTTTTAAAAAAAATGGTGCTAATATTTTTAGTACGGTTAGTAGAAACTGGGACAAGAGAACTTGGAACTACTTTAAGAGATGGATAAATGTAAATTTCAGCTTATTTGTTCTTTAATATTTCCTAATAATAACATAACAATTGGAGTCTTTCGTAGAATGCCTAAATGTAGAGTTTATGAAGATGATTTTTGCTCTCCATCTCCTCCAGCTTGTTCCATAGACTACATAAATGTAAATGAAGTCAATAAACTGGAATTTCCACATTTCTACACATGACAGCATGAAGAGGTGCTAGGAGTGACCTCAATGTGATGACTAATTGTTCCTTAGAGTGACTGACATTCTCCTCTCCTTTCAACCCAACATAATCTAGGTAAAGTCAGAGGAAGTCTTTGATGAGTGGGTATCCAAACTTCGCCACCACAGAATATATCGTCAGAATGAAATCGCCATGTTTCCACACGAAGTTAATCACTTTTTCCCCGGATCTGCTGTCACAGACTCTGGTTCTGAGGTCTTGGACACCATTTCCAGTAGGAAGGTAATGATTTGCCGATAATGAATCTGAAGGAAGGTGGCTTTGTGTGTGGTGGGAGTCTGCTCTCGGGGGCCGTGTCTGAGGAAGGAAGGGTTTGTGGGGAGGAGCAGGGTGAGCTTGAGCTGGGATTTCATTAGCCTGTGTGTCCACTCAGTCAGAACAAGGGCCAGAAGGGCATCTATTAATGCAGAGAGTGTAACTGGAGAACAGCATGTACGGAGGGATTTAATATCACTGCAAGCTCCAGCTTTCTCTTGACCAGTTTGACTTCAGTTGGCTTTCTGGTTGTAACATGCAAGAGGTGCACTTATAGTCATACAAAATTGCAAAATCTTTCCCAACATTTGTGTCATTATTTCACTGTGGTTATCATTTGACAGGAGGAGAAATCAGGGGCCCTTAGCATGGTATGGCCACGCGGGTAATAGCTGGAGGTCTCAGGGTCTCCAGGGGAGTGCTTTGCTAGAAGCTTCTTCCTTATTATGGGCAGATGGCTTCCATTAGCTACGAGCACACTTTATTATCCGTTACCCTAAAGTGTTCCCACCAAGCTCTGTTTTCATTTATAATGTGCTTTTCTCATCTGTGGAACAGCATAGCAGTATATCAAAGCAGAATTCGTTTCAAACCGGAAGCAATTTATCATTTTCTTGTGGTGGTGAGACTCGAGTTCCATTATGGTTACAGTCTTCAGAGGACATGGAAAAATGCTCTAAAGGTAGAGTTACTCGAAACCTCTGCTTCTTTCTGTCAAAACCTCTGCTCTTAGATTACACTGGTTTGGTATTCAGACCCCAGGTGCATTTGTATCCTCCCCCTTCACTGGTCTACATTCCCTGTCATATTTTGCTTATGAAGTCTGCACTTGTGATCAACAAAAGGCACTTTCCTTTAGAGTTTTATGTCTTCCCCTGGGTGTGCGTGCAGGCAAGTTTCCTTTTCTGTTCTTTAAGCACTGATGCCTGATTTCCATATGGCCTACTAAATCACAGAATCCAGGGATGGGGTCTGCACAGTTCGCTATATTTTTTTAAGTGCCAAAAATGCATCTGATGCACATCCAAGAATTTAAATCACTGTTCCAGAGGTGAGTGGGTGAACCAAATGGAAATCCCTACCAAACGGGTGTTCTCTACCCTGGCTGCACGTTAGAATCGCCAAGAGAGCTTTTAAAATGCAGGATACGCATGCCCAGGCCCCTGTCCCAAAGAATCTTTTTAAATTATTGTGGGGTGGGGTTCTGGCATCACTAGTTTTCCCGCAGTTCCTCAAGTGATTCTGATAAGGAGCCAGGGTTGAGAACGCTTACCATATGGAAGCTCTGTATTCTCAACCTTAATTAGCTAAGAATCACCCAAGGAACTAAAAAGAAAAAAAAAAGTCACCAGTGGGATTGGGGGTGTTCTAATTTAATTGCCTGGGGATGGGACTTGGACATAGGTGATTTTAAAATTTTCACCAGTTGATTTTTAAAGTGTAGCCACAATTGAGAACCACTATCAGAGAAAGATGCCTGAAAATTGCATTTTTGCCTGTTGAATGCAGATATTATCACACCTGGAGCCATATAAGTGTTGCCCTCCCAATAAATATGAGCTTCACTGAGTGACATTTTGGGACAGTACTCCCTGAAGTGTTTTCCCTGGACCAGCAGCATTGGCCTGGCCTGGGAACCTATTAGAAATACGAATTCTCAGCTTCAACTCAGATAGACTGAATCAGAAACTGGGGGGTGGAGCCCAGCAATCTGATTTAACAAGTTCTCCAGGTGATTCTGATAATACCAAAGTTTGAGAGCCGCTGTCTTTAGGCTTTTGGACCTTGATTTCTCAGGAGAAACAGCCACCGTCATCCAGTGAACAGCACATTGAGGACTAGCTTTTGAGTTAGTGACCCAGGAACTGGACTGAGGATGCTCGTAGGTCCTCTCAGGTCAATCTGTGGAGGACCATCATGGTCCTCTTGCAGGTCCATGATTGATAACGTTATCCTTAGAGACCAATACACCCTTCATTTTAATTTCATTCATTTAACTTGTGTTGGGTCCTTAGAATCGGATAGTGAGCCTGTTCCTGAAAGATTAGAAGTAACAATGATGGTGGTGGTGATGATGATGGTGACGGTGATGATGATGATGATGATGATGATGAAGACTGATTTATTTAGTGCTTACCATATGCTGGGTACTCTAAATGTACTCTGCATTTATCAACTCATTTTTAACTCAACTGTCCTGTGAGATAGGTATATAATTACCCCCGGCTTCCAGGTGAGGAAACTGAGACACAGAGAAGTTATGTAATTTGCCGAAGATTCACAGTTCGTAAAGTACGTTCAAACTGCGGCAGCGTGGTTCTCCAGATGTATGCCCTTAACCACAATGGTCTACTGTCTGTCCTGTAAGAAGGGAAGTGAAGTTTCCTATCCTTATGAGATGTAAAAGCAAATAGAGATAAATGAGAAACGTAGCTGGCACTAGCGTAGGGAAGCTTGAATGCAAGATAAGTGTGTTTGACTCCTCTTCTTGCTTTTCTCCCACAGAACTGGCAAACTGTCATGCCTGCCTGGTGGAGATGAGCCAGCTCCTGCAAAGTATGGACGTCCTGCATCGGACATATTCGGCTCCGGCTATCAATGTCATCCAGGTTAGCCAGATCCCACTTCTGTTTCAGTCTGGCACTCTTCTGCTTTCCTCTCTCCTCCCAGCCTTTCACTAACAGGGAAGTTGTCTTGTTGGTTGCTTCAGCCAGATTCAAGGGGATGGAGGTGGTCGCTTTGGTGTGTGTCTTTCCCTATTGGTTTGGTAGACCTTACTGTCTGTGTTCTCTTTCCTGTTTTGAAACAAAGGGTGGAGCTTTTGAAAGTCCCAAAAAGGAAAAAAGCTCACATAGGAGATGGCGGTCCAGAGCTGTTGGCAAAGACGCTAAAGGAACGCTGCAGGTAACCCTCGCTTCCCTCCCCAGGCTGGTTTCCTCATGGACATATGCTGGGGACTCCTTGGACTCAAAGAGAAAAATAGACAAGTGAATATTCTGTAGTTATTCTCTCAAATACCTTGTGCAGAGAGAGGAATTCAGTCACTTAGATTTTCTGGAAGATTTTCTGAATACTAGAATAAGCATGTAATGAATATTGGGTAAAGGGTTTTGGTTTCCCCTTCTTTAATGCTTAGCCTGCCTGCTCTCTTCCCTGCTTCGGTGTGTGCCTTGATTTGTGGCTGCTGTGGTCGTGTGCTCTGACTCACCTCTTCTGCTGCAACTCAGTGGATTCATCATCACTCTGAGCCCACTGGCTGGAGTCTCTGGGAGCAGGACATTGTACAGACTCTCTCTTGCCTCTTGTCTCCAACCTTCCAATCCCCCATCAGAAGTTCACTGCATAACGCTAGCCGCTGACTTTTCCCAATGCGCGGCTAAGCCAGAAGCCACAATTTGCAGCTCAGCCGTTGCATATTAAATAGCAGTATTGTCAGGGTCAAAATAAATCAGAAACTTACAGAAACTGTTATACTCTTATATATTAATAACTCTGGTTCAAAGCACTTTATGGGTTGAACTTAAATACTTTGAAAGCAAAGAGTGATTTGTATATAAACATGTGAGAAGGAGGTTTGTTTCGTAAGAAGCACCAGGTGCAAGTAAAGAAAACATTTAAAAATCTACCCCATTAACTATTAGCAACCTAGATCCTGGGTGATTATTGCCAGGAGGAAGGAAATGAATTTAAACGAGAAACAGCCCGGCTGCTTTAGCTGTCATTTTCAACCTGTAGCTTTAATGCTGTAATCACCTCCAAAGGAAAATGTGATTTCTCACCCATTTTTATTTTGCAGGAAGCCAGTGAAAGTTTCTGTGACAAGTGTTTTCCTATAAGTTATCACTCAATAGAAAGACTTTTCTATAGAATGTTCTTGGTACTTTCCAGTCCTAGAAACAAGTAAATATTCTAAGCGATTCGCATCTAAAAAGAAATATCTCCCTTTGGTGTCACTTCAGGTCCCCAAACCTTTTTCTGGCCCAGTAAGACTGCATTCCTCCAATCCTAATTTGTCAACACTAGATTTTGGAGAAGAAAAAAATTATTCCGATGGCTCTGAAACCTCATCAGAGTTTTCTAAAATGCAAGAAGATCTGTGTCATGTTGCCCATAAAGGTAAATGAGTTTTCTTTCTTCCTAATGTGTTTGATGAAAATGTTGAATATTCGTCTGAATGTGGGATGTCCTTGGAGAGGGGAATCTTAGTTGGTTCGTTTTCTGCTCTATTAGGATTTCAGGCAATCTAATTTTTATTTTATTTCCCTGGTAGCACAGAATGTATTGGCAAGAAGTTTCTTTTTAACTCTGTAAGGGAGAAGGTGAGAGCCTTAAGTATACTTTAAAGGCTGAGCAATTTATATGCTGCTGATGATAGTGTAAATTGGTACTTCTCTGGAGGGCATGTGACATCATGTTTCAAGTTTTAAAAAAGTATGCCTATCCAGCAATTCCACTTTGAAGAATTCATTCATAGGAATTAATTTAAAAATTATCCAAACAAAGATATCCATCATAGCATTGTTTATCATATCAAAAATTAGAAATAGATTTTCACCATCATTAGGAAAATGCAAATCAAAAGCATGGTGAGACATTACCATGCACCTATTAGAATAGCTAAATTTTTTTTAAAAACTGACAGCTGGTAAGGATCCAGAGAAACTGGATCTCTCATCCATTGCTGGTGGCAATGCAAGATGGTACAGCCACTCTGGACAAGAGTTTGGCAGTTTTATATAAAACCAAACACGTACTTACCATACAACCCAAAAATATTCACATTCCTGGGCATTTATCCCAGAGAAATGTAAACTTAAGTCCACACAAAATCCTATACACAGCTGTTCAGAGCAGGTTTATTTGTATCAGCCAAAGACTGGAACAACCCAAATGTCCTTCAACAGATGAGTGGTTAAACAAAAGGTGGTACATCCATGCAGTGGAACACTACTCAGCAATAAAAAGGAATGAACTGTGGATACACGCCACAGTGGAGGGCATCTCAAGGGCATCATGTTGACCTAAAATAGCCAATCTCAAAAGGTGTCATAGTGTATGATTGAACTTATTAACACATGTAGTGATACAAGCATAGAGATGGAGAAATGATTAGTGGCTGCCAGGGGTCAGGGACAAGGAGGAGGGCAAGTATGATTATAAAGGGGTAGTAAGAAGAATCCTGGTAGTGATGGAAAGCTCTATATCCTGATTCTAGTGGTGGGTCCATGAATCTAGACATATAATAAAATTGCATTGACCACCATACGTGTACACATACTCACAAGTGAGAGCCTGTCAAACCGGTGAAATCTGAATAAGAGCTGTAGGTTATACCAATGTTAATTTCCCAGGTTTGATGTTGTACCAAAGTTATGTAAGATGTTACCACCATGGGAAACTGGATGTAAGGCACCCAGGGCTTCTCTGTACTGTTCTTGTAACTTCCTGTGAGTCTATAAAAATTTCACAATAGAAAGTTAAAAAAAAAAAAATTAGAAATAACTTAAATGCCTGACAGTAGAGGGATTGGATTTTTAAAATGCAATGTAATCATATACTAGAATACTCAACAGCTACAATAATAATATCTACCTTATATCGAACACAGTGTCATGTCAGGTATTTGCTAATAAGCACTTAACATGCAGTATTTCATTGAATTCTAGCAGCACCCCGCAGAGTGTGTATGACTGTAACCTCTTATCTGTGCACACGTAAGAAACCTGAGGCTTAGAGAAGCCAAAGAACTTCGTGAGGGTCACATGGTAGAAAGTAGCCAACCTGAGACTTGAATTCTAACCTGCCTGACCCCAGAGTCTGTGCTCCTCACCTGGTGTCTCACTGCCCTCACAGATGGGGTAGCCAGGGTTATTTTTATTTTTATAGGTATTGGAAGATTGACACAACATATTGAGCAAAAAATATAAGGTATGATCCCATTTTTTTTGGAAAAAATAAACTATATAAATCTGGCATATATAGGCATATTAAAAAAGTCTGAGAGGATACATACCAGCATTTTAGTGATGGAGACTGGGAGTTCTTATTCTGCTTTTTAAAAAAAATTATCATAGATTTTTCATTTTTTAAAGGAGAAGGTGAGTTAAAATTTTTTAAATGGGAGGGCAGTACTTGAAGTGGGAGGAGAGAAGACGTTTCCTGTTTTGCTTTTCTCTCATCACCCTGTATTTTTCTTCCTTTACATCACTGATTCCTTCGGCTCTTTTCCCTTACCCTACAAACTTAAAATAAAACACGTTGGTTATGAGGAAACCATTTTATGCCCTTTCCAGATTCTTACCTCAAACCCTTGTCCAGGTGACCGTTAGAACCTTGTCCATGTTTGGCAGTACAACTTATCGGTAAAATGGGAAGAATTACCTGCCCCACCCCTTTAAAGATCTTCACACACCCCAGTGTGGTTTTCTAGTATTAAAGGACCACTTGTAATTAGGTTGTTTCATTTTAGGTTTTGTGGGAGGAAATTCCTATACAGTGCCATTACTTTTTAATAATATGCACTGTCTCTTTAAAAATGAGAAGATAGTGCCTCCCTGCGGAAGGGAACTATCCTGATTTTACCTGCCTTGAAGAAGCTGCTTCCTCAGAAGGACAGAGTTTGCTATATTGAGTTGATCGATCCCCTGACCCTGTCCTCCTGCAGAGGGCCTGACATTGTGCGAGGTTTATAATGGGCCTCAGCCAGCTGTTCTGTCTTTCGGGCTGCCACATACCTAGTCTAGGTCAAGATTTGTGCTCCGAGAAAAGTCCAGGAACACCTATTCAACTATAGCCCATGCCCCACGGGCTTGCGAACAGTGAATTCCACAGGGAGCCCAGCAAGCTTTGTTTCATTCCTGTGGTTTTAGAGCGTACTTGCAGAGACTCAAAGACCTCGCGGAGTCCTTTTTACAGAGGCTGTAATTCAGAGGCCTCATGAAATGAAGACCGTTCTCAGGTTCTCCCTCTGTCCTGTGACCTTGCCTGCTTTCTCACTTCCATTCAAACTTTTGAAGCATTTTGACTTTTCTTCCTTTATAAGCCTGATTTTGTTACTGACAGTTTTTATTGTACTTTCTTAACTGCATCACTGATCTATTGACCATGACTTCAGAGCAGCTGAGCTCAAGGCAAGAATTCCATCGTTGTTGTAAATAGTCTTATATAACCTACTTTTTCTTCGGCTTGTTAAATGCACCTGAATTCTCCCTGTCTCATAGAAGTTGGGTCAAATGGTAGGCAACTAATATACACCCATCCTAAAAAGTCTTTATTGTATATTTTAGACTATAAATTTGATTTTTATGGTGTATCATTGAACTAATTCTCATTGGTTCATGTGTCTGGCTTTGTGTCTATGTTGACATACATATAAGCAAACAGAGAACAAAATGTGCTAAAGTCTAAAAGTCATAAGTAATTTGCCTTACATATATTAGCTTTTACATATCCCAAAATGTATTTCATGGAACACTTTGCCCATATTACACTTTAAAAAACAGAAGAATTCCATGATTTAAAATGTTTGGAAAACACTGCTGACTATAGTCTGCTTTGCATTTACACAAGAAGCAGTAAATATTGAAGACCCTGAGAAGTCCTGCAGCAGAGAAGCCTGTTAGCTTTGTTTAACTTCATGATTTTCAAATTTTCAACGTTGTTAGGGAAAATCTCCTCCCTCTTCCCCAAACTGCTGTCAGCTATTATCGCTCTGGAACTAAAGTTCCTGGAAACATATGTCAGCAAACATTGTAAATAATAAGCCTTTTTGGAGCTAACCCTCTATACAAGCTGAGTCAGAAAACTTGCAGTCAACTAGGCCACCTCTGCCATGACTGGCTGTGGGACTTTCACCTCATTGATTAACTTCTCTGGGCCTCAGTTGCCTCATTTGTTAAATGTCCTAAAGTAGTTGTCCTGACTCTTTGGCCTCTCAAATTCTGTAATTGTCTTCTATGATTAACTGTTTTCCACTGAACAGAAATCATGCTGCTGCTTCTTGTTACAAGGAGATTTTGTGAGAGAATGTTCTATTAGTAATACAAGCAAAAAATTACCATATTTGATGAGCAGATTTAGGATGGGAAAGCAAGGACTAGTATAGGACTGGGGTCAGGGTACTCCAGATAGAAGTGGATATTCACATTCTGCCTCGGAAGGGAAAAAAGTGAGGTTTTAGGGATACATCTCCTGCAACCTGTGGAAAATCTTTGCAGTGAGTGAAATCTTCATTTACAAATAGTAATAGTTAATAGTAATCTTCTAGTTTGGTTGAATGCCTTGCTTTACTGCAGGCCATCTGAAAGCTAAGGGAATTGATTTGGTAAAGTGGCAGCCAGCTGAGTGCCATATCTGTTTAATTTAGAGCAATAAACATGACAATGAAAAAAAATTTTTTGTAACTATGTAAAGTGACAGATGTTAACTATACTTATTGTGGTGTTCACTTCCAAATGTATACAAGTATTGAATCATTATGTTGTATACCTGAAACCAGTATAATGTTGTATGTCAGTTATACCTCAATTAAGAAAAGAATTGTAATAAGATACTAAGTAAACTTACCAAAAAATGACAGTGACGAGGTGTTCCCCCAGGGACCCACTCAGATGGGCATGGGTATCCTGTGGAGTTGTAAGGGGTAGGGGTGCCTATCTAAAAGGACCTAAAATGCAGTGAGTGAGTTAACTGCAGGGCTTGTTGCTTTCTGGGTGAGAGCTTCCACTGCTTCTAGTGCTCAGTAGATTCTGGTCAATCTCTCATTCATAGAACTTCTACCCTGTGCACTTATTTATAAATGATGTTCCAGCAAGAGACTCAAGTATCCTAAAACTGCTGCCCATATTTCAAAAGACTGCAGCCATCACCACTTTCAGCCTCTGAAAGTGTTTCTTTCATCACCACCACTATTATTATTGCAGTAACATTTATTATTATATGCGATGCATTGGGTTAAGTGCTTTACCTACATTATCTAATTTAATCCCCATAATGATCTTATGAAGTAAATGCTATTATTATCCCTATTTACAAGTGAGGAAACTGGGGTCCAGGTGCATAATATACCTGTCCGAAGTCCTGCAGTGAGTAAGTGATGGAGCTGGGAAGAACCCAGGGCTGATATGGGAACTCACACTATTGGTGGCTCTGTTGTGCTGCCTGTTATTGTGCTCAACTGAATTGTTTAAATCAAAGAGCTAAGCATGTTCCATAGACACTATTAGAAAATTCAGTACCTATTGACCCTTGACCCCTGTCTTCTGTCAACAGAAGCACCATAATTTGTGTGTGCATTTAAACAAATTGCTTATTTGTCCTGTGATTTTGTGAAGATGCTCTAAGTCTATGGCTTAACACCACAACCTCAGACAATTTAGGGACAGCCTATCGAGAGAGGTTCAGTTGTCTGCGTGGCTGTGGAATGAAGGGAGTAATTCAGTCATGCATATTTAGTTTCTGTGATACTGAATCGGCCACTCTGGAATAACAATACCTCAAAAAGTGCAGTGCCAGGCAGTTCAGTATTATGCCAGGCCATTGGAGTAGAAGTATGTCTCAGCCTCTTCCTTCTTCCTGCCTTTCTAAAACAAAATAGAATAAAGGAGATTGGAAATATTCACATGTGATTTCCATGATCAATTCGGATGACAATTGCCTTATCCCTAGGAGGCAACTTGTACATTATGTGATCAAAACTTGGTGAATTTTTTGCTGTACCTAATAACGGTTTTTAAAACTTCAGTTCAGGCATCTGAGTGCCTAATAACGCTGAGCTCTCATTGTACCTGAACACTCACTAAAGTGAACCAATTGTGGAATGCCACGTTGAGAGGTGGGGAATTCTGGGTCAGGCAGCTGGAAGGACTAACAAGGAAGAGGGTAGGTAACACCTTTTTGGAAATAATTTTAAACTTATAGACAAGTTGCAAGAATAATACAAAGAACTCTCATATGTCTTTTATCCAAATTCACCATTTTTAATATTGTGCTGCATTTATCTCTTTCTACACACACACACACAGACATATATATATATATATATATATATATACACACACATGCAGATGTGTGTGCATTTATTTTTTCTCATCCATGTGAGAATAGGAATCAAACATCGTGTCTTTTTTTATGCCTTTATGCTATATGTATATTTGCTAAGAATAGGGGTATTCTGTTACTTAACCACAGTTTAGTTATGAAATTCAGGAATTTTAGCATTGAAACAGTACTTTTACCTATTCTGCCTTCCATATTCAAATGTTGTCAATTATCCAAATAGCATCCCTTAATAGCTCTTTTCCCCTTCAGTACAAGGCTCTAGTCCATGGTCATAGAGTGCATTTAGTTATCATTGCCTCTTTAGTCTCCTATAATTAGGAACAGTTCCTGAGTCTTGTCTTTCTCTCTGATGAAATTGACACTTTTGAAGAATACAGGCCAATTTGAAAAAATAGGATGGTCCTCATTTTGGGGTTGTCTGATGTTTCCTCCTGAGCAGATTCAGATGGCCTATCTCTGGCTTGTGTTCAACAAAAACAATAGTGTGTCTTTTTCAGGGTATCACACAAAGTCCCAAGGTACACAAAGTCCATCTGACTCTCACTAGTGATTAATTTTGGACACCTAGTTAAGGTGCTGTCTAGTTTCTCCTCTGCATCATTACCATTTTCCTTCTGACAACCAATAAGTTCTGTTTGCAAACATTTCCAGTCTTTGGAGATACAAACAAAACTAAATGTTGATAATTGAGAAGTATAGTCCTTTCAATGTCAAAATATCTTGGTGACAGCTCATAAAATCATGGAATTTTATAGTGGATAGGGACTTTGGAATTGACAAATATGTGTGATTTTCAAATTTTTAATAGACCTTATTCTTTAGAGTAGTTTTAGGTTCGTAGCAAATTGAACAAGAAGTAGAGTGTTCCGATACCCGCTCCCCCATACATACATACATAACCTCCCCCACTATCAACATCCCACCAGAGTGGTCCATTTGTTAACCAACAATAAACCTACGTTGAAACATCATTATCACCCTGAGTCCATGTTTACATTAGTCTGTGTTTACATTAGGGTTCACTCTTGGTATTACATTTCAGATGTATTTTTTAAAGTCAATTAGGTGCACATTTGCTGGACGCAAAATATTCATGGCTGTTACTTTTCTAAGTTCTGTTATAAGAAATACATCTCTATGTATCTTGTTTTTAATTATGACTCTTTTATCCCTTTTATTCCTTTTTATAATGATTATATCTTTATAGTCTACTTCACTTTAAGGTCAGCTTTTAATACCATATTAACGGAGAGAGAGAAACTGAAGCAGCTGATGGAGCAGGATGTCTCCGTCTCCCCCTCTGCCCAGGTCCTTGGTCTGAAGCACGCCCTGTCATCTGTAAGTTACACGTCTGTGTCATGGAAATGCCTGACAGTGTGTCCAGGCTCATGAACATTTTATATTTTCCATTGCCATGGTTTTGTTGAAAATTCATGATTTCCAAGGTTGTGTTGAAAATTCATGAGAAAACCAAACACATTATCCAAATTACATTCTAACCTATCATCAGATCTGCTTATTCTAAACACCAAAGCTGAGCCTACACGAAATCTTAGTAGCTAGTATTTCACTGAGCATTAGATACTCTGTTTGGTTTCCTCCTGTTTATCTTGAGTTTTCTGTTTCTGTAAAGCTTTTGTTATGTTTTTGTTTAAATTTATTTATTTTTGGCTGCGTTGGGTCTTTGTTGCTGCACGGGCTTCTCTCCTGTTGCGGCGAGCGGGGGCTACTCTTCATTGCGGTGCACGGGCTTCCCATTGCGATGGCTTCTCTTGTTGCGGAGCATGGGCTCTAGGCGCACGGGCTTCAGTAGTTGTGGCTTGCGGGCTCTAGTGCACAGGCTCAGCAGTTGTGGCACAGGGCTTAGTTGCTCTGCGGCATGTGGGATCTTTCTCGACCAGGGCTTGAGCCCATCTCCCCTGCATTGGCAGGTGGATTCTTACCCACTGCGCCACTAGGGAAGCTCCCGTTATATGTTTGTCTTGACATTTGTTTGTTACTGCTTACAAAGTCTGACAGTTTGCAGATTTCCATACCTAAGACTTCACAAGCTTAGACTGACTTTCCAAATTGACAGGTACAGGCAACAGAGTGAAATTTTGAATTCACACTCTTCTTTGCTGCCCAGCATTGATCCTACCTACCTGTTTATACCACGTCTCTTTCAAAGACAGAAAAGTGATTTGATTTGATAGTACAAACGTTCAGCTCCCACCTGCTCCCCCCATGGGCACAAAGAGATGTCATAAGGAGTGTCAGGCAATCATCGTGCCTTCATAACAACAGAAAAATCACTGCCAAGCCCCAAATGTTTTTCAGTAAGCCGTCCTGTCGTTCACTCTCTCTCCTCTTTTTTCATCGATTCCAGTTTATTCCTCAGAAGAGCTGGACTCCATTGAAGTGCAATATCCTAGAACTCTGTTTTGAATAGCTGACAGTGTCTGGCTATTATCTCTGTGTCTATCAAAAATCTGGAGAACTTTTAAAAGAACATACTTATTTGCTCCTACTCTTTGCTTGTATGTGGAACACTTACTGTGAAAAGGGAGAGAGTGTGCGCACATGTGAAATTACCATCTGAAGCAATACTGAACTTTCTATGTAGGGTCAGGTAGGGGAGATGAATTTTAGGATTTTGTTTTCAGAAGCCAATTCAGGCAGTGAGAGAACTAGAAAATACCCACCCATGTTTTCTACTCATCATATTACTGAGAAAAGTAAAGCAATGCTTTTGGTTTAACGTTAATGGTAAATACATTACCAGTGGTACATACTGTCATTGTAAGATACTTAAGGAATATTCGCTCAGTTGAATATTTCCAGTATGTTATCTTTGAAAGAAATAAAAAATAACATAGATTTACTCCATGTTTAGAGTCTTAATGTTGTAGACCCAGAGATAGAAATGCCCCTTTTGGATTGTAATGGACAGCCAGCCACACACTGGGTGCTGCTTTGGTTTGAGGGAAGCGGGGTGGTTTTTTTCTTTTATTTTTTATTTTTCTTAGATTCCATATATATGTGTTAGCATACGGTATTTGTCCTTCTCTTTCGACTTACTTCACTCTGTATGACAGACTCTGTCATAAATGGCTACTATTTCTGACTTTCCATGGAAAGTAGTTTATTTTTTAAGTTTATTTTTTAGTGGTAAAAGCATTTCTTATTGTTCCCAGTAGGGTGGCCTTTAGTGCACTTAGAAGGTACCTTGGATGGGCTCCCCAGAGTCCTTTTCACTGTGGTCTTCCTGTCCCTTGCCCTCCTCCTGTGGAGGTCTGGCCTCATTTTGTTAATCTGCTGGTCTGGTAGAGGCCATGAGACCCACCTGGCCATGGTATCCTAGTCCAGAGTCACTACCTTCTCTAAGGAGTTCTCCCTCACCCATGGTAAGGATTTTGGAAACTTAAGATAAAACAGAATGATCCTTTCCTTTTTGTCTTGGATTCCTGATTAGATTCAAGACTTGTTTTTTAAAAATAAGAATTTTAGAGTTATCTCAGGGCTATCAGAATGAATATGTTTGTGCTGTATGTGCAATCTTTGTGTTTTTCTTTCTTCTGCCTGTGGCTTACAAAGGAAAGAGAAGCTACTAAGATAGCACATTTTTCAGACCATATGGAGATTCTAGCCAGTGGTATAGATTCTAGCCACTTACACTAAGACGCCAACAACATATTGGCCAAAGTGAGTGCCCGGTAGAGGTTATTAGATGTAGTTGTGTGATTTAAGAAACATTTACTCAGTGTTTCCTAAATGACCCTTGAGAATTTCCCAATAACCCTTTCCAACTGTGGGTACTAAAAAATAAAGCCAAAATTCTTGTTTGAGATCCAGGCAGTGGGTTAAATATAGATATCATTCTATGCTCTCAGCAGCTAGACCCTGTGGGCCCTGATGGATGGGAAAGGCTCTGAGCTTCTCAGAAGAGAGTCGTGAAGACAGGCAAACAGGATGGATCTGTGTACAAGCACCTGGGGAGCTGATTGTGGGAGTGTGTGTGGGTGAATCAGATGAAGCTGTCCCTTTCTAAAAACAGATCATTTGGAGAACAGTTGGTCACAGGGGATACCAGCATGAAAGAAACACCTTCCTTTACTCTCCTAGTTGGGACGATGGGCTAGGGAATCACACCTGTCCAGGGAGAAATAAGAGATCTGGGTGGGCTGACATGAGCTCACATCTCACAGCCCCCTTCCCAGGGCCCTGGTCCTTAGCCCTTACCCAGGTAAGTAAGCTCTTTTTTTTTTTTTTTTTTAAATAAACTATCTTAGTCATGAAAAATGAATATAAAGCAATCAATACGTATATTGTAAAACAGTAAAATTAATCCTCCACAAAATCTTCTCAGCACACTTCCTAAGATCCAGTTCAACTAGTGTGATAATTAAATAACATTAAAATATGTCCAATCGTAAGGGGTAAGAGCAGCATTTCTATTGCAGATGAGAGAGAGAAGCTTGGGATCTTTAGAGGGAGCTAGTCAGAGTCTAAAGGCAGCTGGGAAGGAGGAGGGGCTGAGAAAACTCGAGTAATAAAAGCTGTAGGTGTTTGTGATTTCCTTCTCCACCGAAAGGAAAGCCTTACTAACCCCACTTCCATCCCTGGAAATGAGATTCGAGAAGGGCCTCCGTTTCCAGTGTTTAATATCTTGTATCTGCCAGGCATCTCAGGAGTATCCTGTTGGATAACATTCAAGAAAAATAGTCAAGGAAGTGCCCCCAAGGGTTCCGCCACACTGGGCCCGCTGCTGTGCTTTTCTGAAACATCCATTTATTAACGGAGCCCCACTATTTTTAACGTGTTCCAGGCCCTAGCACAGAACACAGATCTTAAAGAACGCTTATGCAGAATCCACGCTGAGTCTCTGCTCCTCGACCGCCCAGTTGCTGCCAAGTCGGGTGATCGTCTGGCAGAGGTGGGTAATGTCGCCACGCCTTGTCCCCCGCAGGCCTCCCTGCTGCCCCTGGGAGTTGTGCTCCCCTCACCACGGGGGGCTGAGGATTCCAAGGCTTCCTGAAAGTATGCTGTTAGCTGCATTTCTAAACTGCTTTTTCCCCCTGGAACTCTTCCTCCCTTTGTATTTCTTTACCCCATTTTCCTCCTAAGGATCACCCTTTTCTCTTGATATTACTGGAGTGGGGACTGTACAGAGACAAATGTTTTCTCCTGTCACTTCTGAAAAAACCCTCACTTTCTCCAACCTATAGCATCCCAGTTCCCAGCCAGCTTCTTTTGCTCCCTCTCTGAGAACCACTCTCCCATTTCTATGTGGCTGTTTCCTTCTCCCTTTCCTGTGATTACCCTCAGAGGGGGGGAGCTATTACAGCTGAGTGTCTTGGTCAGTTCATAGTATGTTAAATATGTCTGTTCTCAAGACTTGGGATGTTTATCCAAAATATTCTTTGACTGTGTTTAAAATGAGGAAGTTCAGAAAAATACAAGTGGATTACTTGAAAAAATCAGTGGAAAAGGGTAATGAAGGTCAAAATTGTTTTTAGCAATCTCTTATGTTTATATGCCTGCCTCAATTGTGCTACATTTTTCATTAACAAATGTATTAGACTGAGTGCATTAAAAAAAACAAAAAGGAAGGTCAGGTACAAGAGGCGGGCATCGTAAATTTTTTAAAGGAGTTTCTAATGTTGAATCCTAATTCATCCTCCTCCTTTTTCTGTCCTCAAAGGAAACAAAAGCCTGACACAATTCCTTTACTCCTTGGAAAGTTGTTGTGTTGGGCGACGGGAAGATTAGATGCTGGAATCAATCAGACTGAAAGGCCCAGGCATCCACCTTCACGTGAAGCACAGGCTGTGTCCTGAGCTGATGGGACCCTCTTCTGATGAGGGTGGTACCCTCTCTCCGCAGGGCTGGAGGGCCTCTTATTACTTCTGAGATACACGTCAGTGGTTGACCATGAAATTCTGCATCTTCCCTGCCCCCAAGAGATCTTTTCAATCACCTTATTTATTTTTTGAATTTTTATTATAGTTGATTTACAATGTTGTGTTTCAGGTGTACAGCAAAGTGAATCAGTTGTACATATACATCTATCATTTAGCCCAGACCCAAACTGAATCCCCTGCAAGACTGAGCAGCTAAACATTACCTAAAGGGGCCTTCATTTCAGGCCTGGGCAAAGAAACATGCTTACCAGGAGGGCCGTCTCTGAATCTGCAGGTTTGCTGTGGCAGGGCTCAGTCACTGAGGCCAGCCGTCACTCAGGGTGGCTTGCTGCCAAACGCCGTGGTGTTCTGTGGGGTTTGGTACCCGCTTCCAGGCAGCACTTACCTTTGAAATTATCACCTAATTACATTAGTTTATTTAACAAGCCATTAAATAGATAAATGGCAAGTTGACCCTTCATTTATGGTTCTGTAAATTTATAGTCACTGCGTACCCTTGGGGCTATTTGCATTTGGGAAAGGAAACCAAAATCACAGGTCTTTTAAAATGCATGTTTTAAAATTGATCTCACAAGTAATGCACCTGAAGGCTTAAATGCTGTACATTGTCTTCGAAGAGGAGTGATAACATCCCTCAAGCTCACAGCTTCCAAAACAACCTGCTAGAGTCTTGAATTGATGATTTGCTTGTCTCACTGATCTAGTTCCTCTTTCAGTGATTTTCTGTTTTCCTTGTTTTATCCTGCTTTTCACAGAGTGTGAAAAGGAAAGGCTGACTTTCCCAGTATGGGAAAAGTCACTGTTGCCCTCAGGAAATAAGAGAGTGAGTGGAAATGGCCGCCCCAGAGCCTGAAAGCTCCACTCCAATGTCCTTTCCTTGGGTAGCTCACAGGCTTCTCAAACACTGTGGGAATGACAGTTCCCACACTGGGGTTAGCCCAGGGTGCTCTGTTTTTAGGCCCTCTTACTTTGCTTCCCTTCTGTTACCTTTTAGCTGCACAAATTACCCATCTTTGGTGTTCTAAAATCTACTTGGATTCTAAAATCTCCCCTCCTATCAAAAATTACTCTCATATCCTATCAAGTCCTTCTATTTTAAATTTCTGAATCTGAACATTTACTATTATCAGGTTATGAATGCTTAGATTATTTTATGTTATTTTAGATTCCAAATGAAAGGCCAAGTGACTTTGCGGATAATATCCTACTAAATCTAAAGTCCATTTAAGAGACCAAACAAGCAAGAACTTGAAAGAAAACTCTAAAACAAGACTTTTGATTCTTTTAACTGCTCGTTTGCTATATTCCATGTGCACTTAAATGCATTGTCTCACAAAATCCTAACCACAGCTCTATGAGGTAGGTGATGGTAGTTTCATTTTAGAGACAAGGAAACTAAAGCCCAGAGAGGTTAAATAACTTCCTCTAAGGCACACAGCAAATAAGAGATAGAGCTGGGATTTAAGTCCAGTTCTAATGAATCCCAAACACTTGTTTTCTCAGCAGCATCATACTGCTATATGGAGAGGAAAAGCAGGTCAAGCCAGAAAATAAAACACATGGTGAAGCTCCAGTTGTGAAAATATGGCAGTGATGGGGTAAGAATGGGACAGAATAACTATCTCAGGCCTAGCACCATTTTATATATAAAAGAGTGAAATAAATGTATGATAGAAACGCTGAAAAATCAATGGGAAAGAGATGAATTTTTCAATAAGTTAGGCTGGCACAGCTCAAAAGCAATTTGGAAAGTAGTTTAAATCTTTCCATTGGGACTTCTCTGGTGGCGCAGTAGTTAAGAATCCGCCTGCCAGTGCAGGGGACATGGGTTCAAGCCCTGGTCCGGGAAGATCCCACATGCTGTGAAGCAACTAAGACCGTGCTCCACAACTACTGAGCCTGTGCTCTAGAGCCTGTGAGCCACAACTACTGAGCCTGCGTGCCACGACTACTGAAGCCTGCGTGCCTGGAGCCCATGCTCCACAGCAAGAGAAACCACCGCAATGAGAGGCCCACGCACCTCAACGAAGAGTAGACCCTGCTCGCTGCAACTAGAGAAAGCCCGTGGGCAGCAACGAAGACCCAGCGCGGCCAAAAAATTAAAAATAAATAAATAAATAAATAAATCTTTCCATTGCACACTAAAATGAATCACTAAATTCAAACTGAAAAATATTGATTTAAATGTTTAACAAATGGCTAGAGTAGGGAGGACTTCCTAAATGTGGAAGCAATAGAAAAAAATTACAAAAGAAATGTTGACTAGATTTGGATTCTTTTTTTTGAAAGGAAAAAAAATGGTGTGTTTGAAAAAAATAAGAAGGCAAATAATAGACTAGGAAAAAATATTTTCAGTGAAAATGACAGACTTAGATAATGCTAAATAGGTGGTAGTGTCTTTAATATGTAAATAATTAATGAGTAAGAGCAGGCAACTTAAGTCCTCAACAAATAAATGGGAAAAAAGACACCACAATTCACAAAAATATACAAAATACAAATTGTTTTTTTTTTTTTAACTTCTTAGTTTGTGATATTTATCAATTCACAGGAAGGTGCAAAGAAATGCAGAGAGAGGTCCCATGCATCCTGACCTAGCCTCCCCCATCTCTACAACTAGCTTTTTTGTTTTTTTGTTTTTTTAATTGAAGTATAGTTGATTTACAATATCATGTTAGTTTCAGGTGTACAGCACAACTATTCATTTATACATATAGAGCTAGTTTTTTTAAAAAGGAAAAAAATGTTCAACCTAATTCTTAATGAAGAAATGCAAATTAAAACAATTAGAGTAAAAAAAAATTTCTAAATTATAGTATTCTGTAGCAGTAAAGATATAGAGAAAATAGAGCTTCTCTTGCTTGATGTAATCAGGTAATACACATTTTGCCTTAAACATTTTTAGTAATTACGTCTGAGAACTGATTCTAAGAAATAATGACATACGAGCAAAGACACATTTGCAAACGTGTTCACCATCTTTACAAATTTGGAAACACCCTTAATTTCCAATAAATGACATGGTTACTCTGTGACACACATATATAGTAAATCTATCAAGTAAAGTTCATTGTCTCAGAGAAATTTTAGCAGCCTAGGGAGAAGTTCACAATATAATGTTAAGTGAATGTGACAGACTAAATAAAGACTATGTACAGTGTGATCCCAGATTTTCAAACTAAAAAAAAAATCTATATACAAATATTTTAATACAAAAAATACACTGACAGGTTAATAGGGGCCACATCTGGGTGATGGATTTTAAGTGATATTTATTTTATTTACATCTTTCTGTATTTTCTATTTTGAGCACATACTACCTTTATCCTCAGAACAAGTGTTAATGTAATTTTATTTTTTTTAACATCTTTACTGGAGTATAATTGCTTTGCAATGGTGTGTTAGTTTCTGCTTTATAACAAAGTGAATCAGCTATACATATACATATATCCCCATATCTCCTCCCTCTTGCGTCTCCCTCCCACCCTCCCCTATCCCACCCCTCTAGGTGGTCACAAAGCTGATCTCCCTGTCCTATGTGGCTGCTTCCCACTAACTATCTATTTTACATTTGGTAGTGTATATATGTCCATGTCATTGAAGTTATGGTGCAGTGTTGTTTGGAGGAAAATTATAAAATTAGATAGATAGATGACAATTATTTCAGAACAAAGCAAAGCTATATGTATAAAAAGGATTGGAGAGAAATGTATCAAAATGCCTATAGTGGTGGATTTAGTGTGATGGGATTATGCGTGTTCCCTTCCCTCCTTTTTCTCTATCTTTTTGTAATGTAAAAAAAGATAAACAACCACTTACACCTTACAAACTTGAGGGGATATGATTAAATTGAACTGACTAGATTAATATTTTAATACATGAGGTCCTGGGCTGTGCAGGACACTGGGCTGAGGGCTGGAGGCTCCTGCAGTCCTGTTGAGTTTTCGGTGACTATCAATAGGAAGTTGCTGGAGTAATGGAACAGCAGAAAGGGCTGGGGCCAGACATGCTATTTTCAGTGTTGATCAGGCAAGAAATCCTTCTGACCCATCAGCCTAGGAAGAAGAAATACAGAAAGAGCCGGAGTGACTATTAATAAATTAATGAGGAGAACAACTAAATAAATCATTAGAGTCTTATGTGGCAGTGACACAGCAAAGACACAGGACTGTTCTGTTGTTTCAGTAAACATTAAGGGAGCTCAGTTATTCATTACCATGTCTGCTCTTTTGAGGAGAGAGACCTTTCCTTTAAAGGTGACAGATGTGATGCTTATTTATAGATCCTAAGTGATCTATCTTGTTTGTTAGCATGGAGAAGAAGCCTGCTTTTCAAAAGGCTGTAGGATATTAAAATGGGTAGGATCTTTCAGTGAATACCTTGTCTAGAAGAGAAAGGGATACACATTTAAGTGTGTTCCTGAAGTAAACATTCCATAGAGACCCTTTGACCTTTATTAATTATGAACATCTGCTGGGGCCCTCCTGTTATAGCATCTCCATTTTATGAGGCTGAGGAGTGTGTCCTGAACTCATAAAACTTCTGGGAAAGATATAATATGCGTTAACTTTTGTCTCCCAAATTATTCTGCGACTCATTTATCAAATACATAAGGATATATAAGCAGCTCCTTTATCAGCCCCGTGAGAAATGTGAGCTGTCAGGAAGTTCAGGTGACAGTCTTCTCTGATTCAAAGGAATCAGATCATGTCGTCCTCAGTATGTTCTCGTTCCTCAAGCTCTAGTTAGGCATCGCCTCTTCTGTGAAGCCCTCCCCAACCAAAGCCCCCCTAATAGAATCAACCTCTCCTTCCTGTCCGCTTCTGTAGTGCTTTCTGTTCCATAGTCTTGGGCTCATGTGTGTTGGATGCGTCCTCTACACCACTTACTCGGGCCCAAAACCTTGTCTTATTCATCATCGTATCCCGCCATGACAGGCACAATGCAGTTGCTAAATTTCTTGAGTTAAATTGAATTTTCACTTGCAAATAGCATACAAAACATATTCCCAAAGTATTTAGGTCCTTTCCAGAGGAAATGTCCAGACTCAATGACTCAAGGGATGGAGGGCCAGCAAGAGGAGAAAATCCCGATATTCTATTGTGTTGTTTGCAGAGAGGGTGGAAAGGGGATTGGGGACTTCCTTCCCTTGCAGCCAGTGTGGTTGGAGAGACAGACAAAGAGAATTTATCTCATTCATCCATGAATAATGAATGATCTACCACCGGGGGCACTTCTGGACCGCAACACACTGTTTATTTGTCAAGGGATGCCTCATGATCAGCACACTGGCCTCTGCGAGAGAATTGAGGCAGAAGAAAGCTGTGTTGCTCTGAACCAGCCATGCAAGGACATGCATTGAGTACAATTCAGAGGAAATTTTAGGATGAAAAGAAACATCCTGCAGTGGTAGAGAATAAGAGGATATGATTCAGAGAGTGTTGGAATTTTTCCTGTCTTAAGTGGAATAAAAACTGACCTGCACAGTCTTTTTTTGCTTTGAGGTTTGTTGTGTGTGCCTGAGCTGTGATAGTGCCTGTAAACAAGGTGACCATTTGGGGGAGACCTAGGCTTTTCACCGTGTTTTGTGTGAGGTTTGCTTCTCCTCAACTTTGAACCTGCCCTCTGCTTTGAGCTGCTTGTTTGCCTGGGCCTGTGACCGTGTGTATTGTGCAGCAAAATCAGTTGTTTATTTTGCTTCTCTTGAGACTGGTTCTAAATACATGCATTTTTGGTTTTGTGTTTCAAATAGGAAAACTCCAGAGATGACAATCGAACTCTGGTCCATCAGCTTTCCAACGAAAGCAGGCTCTCCATCACTGACTCTCTTTCAGAGTTTTTTGATGCACAGGAAGTTCTGTTGTCTCCAAGCTCTTCAGAAAATGAGGTTTGACCACTGTTTTCAGTTAGGTGCCTCCAAAATCTCTTTTGCTGCTTTACCCGTTCAGTAAATACCCATATTTAGAAAAACTAAACTCAATGGCTCCTTTTTATCATTACATTCTGAGGATCTTATAACTCATACCTCAAAAAGCATAAAAAGAGACAAGATCTTAGGGAAAAAAAATTATGGAAGTAGGTGTTGGGCACATCCTGGTTTCTGTTATTTGATTTGTTATACCTCTTTTCAATTGTAGGTTAATGATTTTGACTATCAGCTGTTTGATAATGTATTATTTCCACTACAGGGTCAGAAGTTAGCACCTTGTATATTTTCTCATCATTGAATTTGCTCTATAGTAATTTATAATATAATTATGGTTATTATAGTTATTATAATATGGTTGTTATAATTAATTTATAATTATGTTCTGAGTGTGAGTACTGATCATTTTACCCCTTCGGTATAGAAGTACTAATATTTTTTATCTATTAATTTCCATAGAAGATACTTTTATTCACAAATAGTTAAAAGACAATTTGTAACTCTTTCTAGTCAAACGCTAACAAATTCTGAAAAAGCAGTCTGAATTAATAAGAATTTTTATAATAACTAAAATCTGGGGTTTACATGTTTTTCCCTTGTGAGAATGAATCAAGAATGTATAAGAATTTTAATAACATATTTTATGTGAACATCCCCTAGGCAGACTGGTGTATGGGCCTTTATGAAAACAGCATCCAAAATCATTTCTGTAGGTTTATAATGTGTGGTCTAAAATATATGATCATTTGAAGTAAAGGCTTTATGAAATCTGGCCTGTCTACTCTAATGTATATTATTTCTTCTTTCCCATAGATTTCTGAAGATGATTCATATGTCAGTGACATAAGTGACAACCTTTCCTTAGATAATCTCAGTAATGATTTAGATAATGAGAGACAGACTTTGGGTAAGATTTAAATTGTTTGATCTCTGAGTGTTTGGATCTTTACAGAATACTAGTAAGCATACATAGGGTACCTGCTGCAAACAGAGAACTTAGCAAGTTCTGCCTCAGAAACTTAAGACATGGTCCCCACCCTCAAAGTTTTATAATCTAGGTGGGACATGGCACTCACATGTGAAAAATTTATTCATTCAAATACATTCGTTGGCTAGTGCAAATTTCTATTTTATAAAGTAAGGTTATACCAATTATCATATAAATATCAAAAATTAATACTACAGATGTTCCTTATTTGGTTCAACATTCTCTCTGCAAACATATTAGAATATAGCTCTTTTCCTTTAGGTTTCTAGTGGTTTTCATAGTTTAGGAATTCAGTAGCACTTATATTGTAAAAGGTCTGGTCTAAGCGGTAATTTAGCTTCCGATTCTTCAAGATAACACATTTGAGAGTAACAAACTGCTCCCCCTGTGGGGGTAGGGCTTAAGGTACCCTGAGATGTCCCTTTATTACTGGTTGATCCCAAGACTGAAAATGATGCCCAGGAAATGTAAGTTGGAACCGTGGCGGGTACCTGGAATGTCTACTATCTCCAAACAGCTCTGATTTAGGAGTCAGTAAGCAGACTGAAGCCTGTTTAGGAAGGTGACCTATCCTTAAGAAGAATCTGCCCATTGGACAGGTCTCTATATGAGTCCTTCAGCATCAAATACTCCCAGTCTTGGTACTCAGCATGCTTGGGGTCTCTAGATTTATCTGTGCCAGAACACCACATATTTTTTTATCTACATGGAAGACAAGGACCATGTCAGTTCCTTTTTGATGTATCAGTGCTTGCCAGCTCAGTACGTATGTGAAATACGATGATGATGACTTGTTATCTGAATGTCAAAAAGCCTACTCTTTGGGGGACTACAAAAAAAGGCAGGTAAATTTACTGTTCTATGAAAGAATATCCTTTCAGCATCACACCTGCTAGAAGTCAGAAGCTCATTATGCTCTGTATCTTCCTTGAATTGTTTCTGGAGAGATTAATCCTTTGGTGGAAAAGTCTGAGAACCAGTGATTTAAAGGCAAAGACCAGTAATATAGGAGCAAGTTCATGCACTACTTGTTTTTGTAGAAAAATAAGGAGGCGAATTGAAAGAGAAATGAGGAGGCATCACTTATTCCCTTGGCTAACAACACACACACACACTAAATGGGAACTCTCATTGTAGATGAAGAAGACGAACAAATGCTGAAGTCCTCCTTCTGTTTGAGGCCTTAGGGAGGGGGCCAAGAGGAACAGAGGTATAGAGGTTCAGAGGTCGAAGTTGGGAACAGAGGACTTGCCCCCGAACCTAAGACCACAGCTGTGCTGAGTTGACACCAGCCAGGAAAAGCATATGAGGTGAAGGCTGTCTCTCTATCTTATTCCACAGCCATTTTGCTAGATTACTGACCAACATTTTCTTAGCTTGAACAAACACTGGGCCAAACCTAGCTTTCTTCTTTGGCAGTATTTGGAAGATTAGATTTCTGCACATCAGTACTCTACTGAAAAGATTGTATGTAGAAATAAACTTTGCATCTTAGGACACAGTATTGCCTACAGAAGGAAATAGGATTTATCCAGGTCTTGATAAATTACCACATTAGAATTTCTCTGAGCCCTTAGTAAATGCTAGGTATTTAGAATGTTTCCTATTAATGTACCCCCCTACCCAAATCAGTAGGCACATAATAGGATCTGTCACTGTGATGGGTGCTGTGTGGGGGTTCAGTGGTTAGGAATATAGATTCAGGGACCAGATTTCCTCGGTTAACTCCAGCCCTGCCATTCACTGGTTATGTGTTCTAGGGCAAGTTACTTAATTTCTCTGTGCCTCAGTTTCTTCATCTGTAAAATGGGGATAATCTGTTTATCTCAAGAGGTTGTTGCAAAGGATAAGTGAGATAAAATATGTAAAATTCTTGAAAGGCTGTCACAGAGTAAAAGCTATGTATGTATTAGCCATTAGTAGTAGTAGTAGTATAGTATTCTTTCAAAATTTAGTGTAATCAAAGAAAGTATTTTGAGATTACATGGAATGCTGTTTTTAAAGACTGTCATCATTTGCAGCTACTTACTTGATTTTTGCCTGTGTTGAGCAATTAAAACAAATTCAGAATTTAATTGGTTGCTTAGATTAACATGAGACTTCAAAGTATGACCTCACTTTCATATTCTCCTGTTCATCAAAGCAACCTCATTATTCAGAGTGATTGGCTTTATAATAAAATACCACTTTCTCATATGTTGATGTAATGCAAAAGATTTCATTTGAAAATAAGCTATGTTGGGGTGGGAAAAGAATTCCAGAGCATGAGGTAATGGAAGTTGTCACAAAGGAAAAGATTGATAGGTGTAAAAACCTAAGATGTAAATGTTTCATTCATTAAAAAACTGCATAGACCAAATGTAAAGATAAATGTCAAATGGGGATTAAATTGTAAAACAAATACAAAAGCAAAAGATTATGTCTTAATATATAAATAGGAAAGCGGACAATTCAGAAGAGAAGAAATGTTCATGAAAGCATTCCAGACCACACTAGGAATTTTTTTAATGTAGGTTAAAACAAGGAGATAACGCTGTCCACCTAACGATTTGCCAAGAATTCAGAACGAATGCTGACAAGCCTGGAATGGTCTCAGAACATGGACACTGGTATATGCTTGCTGATAAATGGGAAACTGATACCGCCTTTTTGAAGAGCAGTATGATCATATGAATCAGTATATGATTCCCACTTCTGTATATTCTAAGAAAACAATCAGATACAATTAAATATCTAAGAATATGAATATTCACTATTTTTTAGCAAAACATTGAAACAAATCTAAAAGTCCAACAACAGATGAAGGATTCAATAAATTATAGCTTATCCATAGCATGGAATTGTTTTACAGTCATTAAAAATGATGTTTTAGAAGAATTTTAAATAGCATGGAAAAATATTTATGTTAACTGATTAAGCAAAACATTTAACTATACAAACATTGTCCGCTATATGGAGAAAACACTAAATGAAAATACTCCAAAATATAAATGGCTACTATTTCTGGGTAGTGGGTTATGGGATGACTTTTGTTTCCTTTATAATTTTCCTATAATATAAATACACTTGTTTTACCAGAATTGGAAACGATGTTTTTTTAAAGACTTTAAAAGTTTTTATCAGAACTTGAAGTGCTTTTAGAAAGAGTTTAAAAGTAACCTGCTCTGGGCATAGCAATCCAGTTTCCAGTTTTATTCTAAGTGCATATAAGCTCTGAGGAACTAGCCTTTGATTAGGAGTATGAAGACCTCCCCATGAATAAAGTCCACGAGTTTTCGTGCTTATAATTTTTGGTGCTTCATTTAGCTACTCAGAATTCTTTTTATTTTCTGACTTCAGCCAGAATCTGGATAACTGTCATGGCGTACTTGCTCAGTAAGGTGGATTTTTTTTTCCTTTTTAATAGTAAAATAAAATGAAAATCCTTATAAGGCAACCAGGCTTATTTCCCTTTCAGAGCCTGTTCTCCAAAGTGGAGGGGAAGCCAAGTCCAAAAGAAGAACGTGCTTGCCGGCCCCGTGCCCCAAGTCCGGTAACGTCAGCTTGTGGAACATCCTGAGAACTAACATCGGGAAGGACCTGTCTAAGGTGGCCATGCCGGTGGAACTCAATGAGCCCCTCAACACGCTGCAGAGGCTGTGTGAGGAGCTGGAGTACAGCGAGCTCCTGGACAAGGCTGCCCAGACGCCCAGTGCCCTGGAGAGGATGGTGAGCACCGGTGGCCACTCCCAGGGCCCAGCAGAGCCAAGACGGGCACAGCCAGGGCTCCTGTCCCTCCGGTTCCCATCTGGATTGCCCGTCAGATCGGTTCATTTCCCAGCCACCTCCGCTTCCCCTCCGCCTGGCTGTTTTCAGTCACCTGGTCAGGAATTGCCACTGGGCACGGCTTCCCTGTGACAGCTGCGGCCTGGGGGTAGTTCTGCTCTGTGGTTTCGGGCTTCCTCTTTCTCCAGAACCTTCCATGGGATTGTTATGATATTGCCTGGCTGGAAGACATGTCTTGAGGGCTGTCTGAGTATTTATTTTTACTACCCTGAGCGGATAGAACTTAATTTTTGGAACTGGTTGTTTTGTTTTTTTTGTTTCATTCGGGGTAAATTTCCCTTGAGAACATTTTTGTTTATTTTTGGAACTGTCCTATCGGTCCCTAAATTTTTAGAAAGTATCATTCACTCACAGGTTTCACATCAGAAAGATTCTTCTCGCCCCCTGCACTTCTTTTTTTTGAATTAATTTTTATCAGAGTATAGTTGATCCCACGCACACACTTATTTTATAGAATAAGTTTTTTTAAAAAAAACCTAATCCTAGAAAGATTAACCTTCTGTTCTCTACTCAGTATCAATTCTAATCAAGTGATGGGGCTTCTGATGAAGGGGTCTCCAAGTATTTCTCATCCTTCCCCTGTCTTGTGGGGATGGGGTTAGGGGTACCTTAGTGGCAAGACTGTGACCACATCAGCCCTTTCTGTGTCTGTGGCTATCTGTTCTTCAAAACTGAGTGTCTCTTCCTCTTTTTGCCTCCTGGTATGTTACCTGCTCAACAGAAAGGTCATTGTTTGTGTGGGATGCTGGGACAAGAGTGTCTTCCGCCAAATGCAGCATCTCTGCCCTAGGCATTTGCTGATTGGCTAAGTGGGACAGCACGCCCCCCCAGCCTCAGGGACCCAGCTATACATCACCTCTCACTGTTGGAGGCCATTGTTTTCTAAATTGTACACATTCTGCAGTTTAAACCCTCATTAAAACTTCAATTTCTTCAGTGATTAGAGGATTAAGGGAAAATCTTAACTACTGGTTGAAAGAGACATCCCTGTCTCATCCCATACTGTCTCCTGGGACTTCTCCCATCAAAGAGATTTTCTTTCTTGATACTAATGATAATCAGAGTAGGAGAGAAAAACACACTGTTTATTTTTTGTCTTCTTTGTTACTCTTCCCCAGAGAATTTCTGTGAACAAAGGGAGGCAATTAGCTGCCAAGGCAAGTGTTAAAAGTTATCATTCGTGGACAGTGCTTTTCTTTAAAGAAAATGATTGGCTCTGAAGATGAAAGCATTCTTAAAAGGTGTTTCATTCTCCTAGCAATTTAGAGACCCTTCGGATGTCAGCTGATTGAGTGGTGTCATTGACGTTGAGAAGTTTGAGGAAAGGCACCAGTACATTAGGAAGGGAAAGTTCAGGAAAGAATTGAGGAGGAACCTAGCCCATGGATTGTGTTTACTGCTCTGAGTATGAAGGTCAGCTCTACCCCTGCAGAGATTCTCTCTCATATTGTCAGCCCACAAGGAGGACGCTTCGTTCTGCCTGCTCCCTCCCTCCTCTCTCCCCCTACATCATGAATGATACCGGATTCTTTTAAAATGTGTTCTATGTTAAATTGTGAAGGTGATTCAGGGTTGATTCAGCATTCCATGTAGACATGTGACCTTGCTGTTTATCAGGTAACAGACATCTGAGGAAGCAGAGAGAGGAACAGATACCCAGGTTTCAAGAACAGACTGAATTGAGCACAGCAAATTGATTTTTATAAGCTCTCCAGCTGCTCTAGAGTGTTCTGTACACTTTAGTGTGAGGTGGTAAGGTGGGACCAGTTTTCAAAAGGCTGTTGTTGAAAGTTATGTGACTGGTGAGCATTTATGAAAGGCACACAGCTTTTTTTTTTTCCAATATAAGAAACTTCATGAAATGAGCTGAGAAGAGGAAATATTGAGATTATTATTCTGTACTAGAAAGGAAAATTTGCTATTGCTACTTAGGTTTAATTTTTTGCCCCTTGCCCCTCAAAAGACCATAAAGGATACCGACACACCTCAGAGATATTGCAAATTTGGTTCCAGACCACTGCGATAAAGCAAATATTACAATAAAGTGGGTCACATGAATTTTTTGGTTTCCCAGTGCATATAAAAGTTATGTTTACACTATATTATAGTCTATTAAGTGTACAATAGCATTATATATTAAACAAAACAAGGTATACACCTTAACTTAAAAAATACTTTATTGGGCTTCCCTGGTGGTGCAGTGGTTGAGAGTCCACCTGCCGATGCAGGGGACGCGGGTTCATGCCCCGGTCCAGGAAGATCCCACATGCTGCGGAGCGGCTGGGCCCGTGGGCCATGGCCACTGAGCCTGCACGTCCGGAGCCTGTACTCCGCAGCGGGAGAGGCCACAACAGTGAGAGGCCCGCGTACCGCAAAAAAAAATACTTTATTGCTAAAAAATGCTAACCATCAATGCACCAGAGCCTTCATTGAGTGGTGGTAGTAACATCACTGATCACAGACCACCATAACAAGTATAATAATAATGAAAAAGTTTGAAATAATGTGAGGAGTATCAAAATGGGACACAGAGACATGAAGTGAGCAAATGCTTTTGGAAAAATGGTGCCAATAGACTTACTTGATGCAAGGTTGCCACAAACCTTCAGTTTATAAAAAACAAAGTTTCTACAAAGCACAATGAAGTAAAGCACAATAAAACGAGGTGTGGCTCTTTGTTACCCTGAAAGGGGAACTCTGGAAAATGCTGAGACCCTCACAGCCAGGGCCATTAAAGGATTTTGCTCATTTCGTGTTCACCTATAGTTTTCCTTCCTTTTCCTTTTTTTTTTTTTTTTTTTGTGGCACGCGAGCCTCTCATTGTTGAGGCCTCTCCCGCGGGCTCAGTGGCCATGGCTCACGGGCCCAGCCGCTTCGCAGCATATGGGATCTTCCCAGACCGGGGCACAAACCCGCGTCTCCCACATCAGCAGGCGGACTCTCAACCACTGCGCCACCAGGGAAGCCCCCCTTTTCCTTTTTGAGTTTGCATTTTTCTTCCCAGAAAAGCAGAACTTCTTAAAAGGCACTGTGCTCTGTCCCAGGCGCAGGAAATGACTCCCAAAGATTTTCTTTGGTCAAAATGAGGGATTTTTTTTTTTGGTTTCTACAATATCAAATTGTGAATGATTAAACTTAGGATGCCTATTCCTGAATTTTTTTTTTTTATATTGGAGTAGAGTGGATTAACAACGTTGTGTTAGTTTCAGGTGTACAGCAAAGTGATTCCAGTTATACATATAATTCATGTATCAATTCTTTTTTAAGTTCTTTTCCCATTTAGGTTATTACAGAGTATTGAGCGGACTTCCCTGTGGCTTATTCCTGAATTTTGAGGGAAGTTTAGCTTTTTTAATATTCTTCATCCCTCTCCTCCTCAAAAGCCTTAGCACGACCTCGGGATTCTCACATAGTGGCTGGTTTAGAGGGACTGACTCACCATCTTGAAAAGCATCTTGCAGGCATCAGACCAAATGGACAGTCTGAAAAGGTCTGGTCCACTTGTGCCTGGGCCAAAATGAACACTATTTAAACCTACAACTTGAAACCAAAGTGGGTTTGGGTGTCTTTAAACCAGGGACAAACCTTTGGCTTTTCGAGATAAACTGTAAAGAGAGAAAGAGAGGTTTTATTTTGTTCATGTCTATGTTTGTAAAAATGAATTTCTTGGTAATGGAGAAATAACCAGGTTCTCTCCGCTCTCGCTAGGTGTACGTGGCAGCCTTCGCCGTGTCCGCATATGCATCTAGCTACTTCCGCGCTGGGAGCAAGCCCTTTAATCCGGTTCTTGGAGAAACATATGAGTGTATTCGTGAGGACAAGGGCTTCCAGTTTTTTTCAGAACAGGTGGGTATACACCCTTTTTGTTTGTTGGGAGAAGTTGCTTATGCCTCCCATTAAATGTGCTTTTGAAATATTTATATTCCACCTTTCACTGGCTTCAAAGCAACTGAGATAATTACAGTGCCTTTACACATAAATAGAGGGATCAGTTTCCTTCTACTGAAACCTCTCCGCCACCCATGGGCATAAATGCGCTAGCCAGGCTTGTTTGGCCATATGTATATGGCCATATGCATCGTCAGAGCCCTTCCTGTTGAAAGTTGTAGTGGAGAGGGACTTTTTTTTTTTTTAATTTAATTTAATTAATTGTTTTATACAGCAGGTTGTTATTAGTCATCAGTTTTATACACATCAGTGTATACATGTTAATCCCAATCACCCGCACAATTCAGCACACCCCCACCCCACCCCCTGCTGCTTTCCCCCCCTTGGTGTCCATACGTTTGTTGTATACATCTGTCTCTCAATTTCTGCCCTGCAGACCGGTTCATCTGTACCATTTTTCTAGGTTCCACATATGTGCGCTAATATACGATATTTGTTTTTCTCTTTCTGACTTACTTCACTCTGTATGACAGTCTCTAGATCCATCCACATCTCAACAAATGACCCAATTTCGTTCCTTTTTTATGGCTGAGTAATATTCCACTGTATATATATACCACATCTCCTTTATCCATTCCACTGTCAATGGGCATTTAGGTTGCTTCCATGACCTGGCTATTGTAAATAGTGCTGCAATGAACATTGGGGTGCATGACTCTTTTTGAATTATGGTTTTCTCTGGGTATATGCCCAGTAGTGGACTGCTGGCCATAGTGGCTGTATCAGTTTACATTCCCACCAACAGTGCAAGAGGGTTCCCTTTTCTCCACACCCTCTCCAGCATTTGTTGTTTGTACATTTTCTGATGATGCCCATTCTAACTGATGTGAGGTGATACCTCATTGTACTTTTGATTTGCATTTCTCTAATAATTAGTGATGTTGAGCATCTTTTCATGTGCTTCTCGGCCATCTGTATGTCTTCTTTGGAGAAATGTCTATTTAGGTCTTCTGCCCATTTTTGGATTGGGCTGTTTGTTCTTTTGATATTGAGCTACATGAGTTGCTTGTATGTTTTGGAGATTAATCCTTTGTCCGTTGATTCATTTGCAAATATTTCCTCCCCTTCTGAGGGTTGTCTTTTTGTCTTGTTTATGGTTTCCTTTGCTGTGCAAAAGCTTTGAAGTGTCATTAGGTCCCATTTGTTTATTTTTGTTTTTATTTCCATTACTCTAGGAGGTGGATCAAAAAAGATCTTGCTGTGATTTATGTCAAAGGGTGTTCTTCCTAAGTTTTCCTCTAAGAGTTTTATAGTGTCCGGTCTTACATTTAGGTCTCTAATCCATTTTGAGTTTATTTTTGTGTATGGTGTTAGGAAGTGTTCTAATTTCATTCTTTTACATGTAGCTGTCCAGTTTTCCCATCACCACTTATTGAAAAGACTGTCTTTTCTCTATTGTATATCGTTGCCTCCTTTGTCATAGATTAGTTGGCCACAGGTGCGTGGGTTTATCTCTGGGCTTTCTATCTTGTTCCATTGATCTATATTTCTGTTTTTTGCCAGTACCATATTGTTTTGATTACTGTAGCTTTGTAGTATAGTCAGAAGTCAGGGAATCTGATTCCTCCAGCTCCGTTTTTCTTTCTCAAGACTGCTTTGGCTATTTGGGGTCTTTTGTGTCTCCATACAAATTTTAAGATTTTTTGTTCTAGTTCTGTAAAAACTGCCATTGGTAATTTGTTAGGGATTGCATTGAATCTGTAGATTGCTTTATGTAGTTTAGTCATTTTCATAACATTGATTCTTCCAATCCAAGAACATGGTGTATCTCTCCATCTGTTGGTATCATCTTTAATTTCTTTCATCAGTGTCTTATGGTTTTCTGCATACTGGTCTTTTGTCTCCCTACGTAGGTTTATTCCTAGGTATTTTATTCTTTTTGTTGCAATGATAAATGGGAGTGTTTCCTTAATTTCTCTTTCAGATTTTTCATTATTAGTATATAGGAATGCAAGAGATTTCTGTGCATTAATTTTGTATCCTGAAACTTTACCAAATTCATTGATTAGCTCTAGTAGTTTTCTGGTGGCATCTTTAGGATTCTCTATGTATAGTATATCATGTCATCTGCAAACAGTGACAGTTTTACTTCTTCTTTTCCAATTTGTATTTCTTTTTCTTCTGTGATTGCCATGGCTAGGACTTCCAAAACTATGTTGAATAATAGTGGCGAGAGTGGACATCCTTGTCTTGTTCCTGATCTTAGAGGAAATGATTTCAGTTTTTCACCATTGAGAATGATCTTTGCTGTGGGTTTGTTGTATGTGGCCTTTATTATGTTGAGGTAGGTTCCCCCTGTGCCCACTTTCTGGAGAGTTTTTTTCATAAATGGATGTTGAATTTTGTCAAAAGCTTTTTCTGCATCTATTGAGATGATCATATGGTTTTTCTTCTTCAATTTGTTGATATGGTGGATCACATTGATTGATTTGTTTATATTGAAGAATCCTTGCATCCCTGGGATAAATCCCCCTTGATCATAGTGTATGATCCTTTTGATGTGTTGTTGGATTCTGTTTGCTACTATTTTGCTGAGGATTTTTACATCTATATTCATCAGTGATATTGGTGTGTAATTTTCTTTTTTTGTAGTATCTTTGTACGGTTTTGGTATCAGGGTGATGGTGGCCTCATAGAATGAGTTTGGGAGTGTTCCTTCCTCTGCAATTTTTTGGAAGAGCTTGAGAAGGATGGGTGTTAGCTCTACTCTGAATGTTTGATAGAATTTACCTGTGAAGCCATCTGGTCCTGGACTTTTGTTTGTTGGAAGATTTTTAATCACAGTTTCAATTTCATTGCTTGTAATTGGTCTGTTCATATTTTCTATTTCTTCCTGGTTCAGTCTTGGAAGGTTATACCTTTCTAAGAATTTGTCCATTTCTTCCAGGTTGTCCGTTTTTTTGGCATAGGGTTGCTTGTAGTCGTCTCTTAGGCTGCTTTGTATTTCTGTGGTGTCTGTTGTAACTTCTCCTTTTTCATTTCTAATTCTATTGATTTGAGTCCTCTCCCTCTTTTTCTTGATGAGTCTGGCTAATGGTTTTTTGTTGTTTTTTTTTTTCGGTACACAGGCCTCTCACTGTTATGGCCTCTCCGGTTGCGGAGCACAGGCTCCGGACGCACAGGCTCAGCGGCCATGGCTCACAGGCCCAGCTGCTCCGCGGCATGTGGGATCTTCCCGGACCGGGGCACGAACCCATGTCCCCTGCATGGGCAGGCGGACTCTCAACCACTGCGCCACCAGGGAAGCCCCCTGGCTAATGGTTTATCAATTTTATTTATCTTCTCAAAGAGCCAGCTTTTAGTTTTTTTTGATCTTTGCTATTGTTTTCTTTGTTTCTATTTCATTTATTTCTGCTCTGATCTTTATGATTTCTTTCCTTCTGCTAACTTTGGGTTTTGTTTGTTCTTCTTTCTATAGTTCTTTTAGGTGTAAGGTTAGATTGTTTACTTGAGATTTTTCTTGTTTCCTGAGGTAGGCTTGTATAGCTATAAACTTCCCTCTTAGAACTGCTTTTGCTGCATCCCATAGGTTTTGGATTGTCATAGTTTCCTTGTCATTTGTCTCTAGGTATTTTTGGATTTCCTCCTTGATTTCTTCAGTGATCGCTTGGTTATTTAGTAACGTATTGTTTAGCCTCCATGGGTTTGTGTTTTTTACGTTTTTTTCCCCTGTAATTGATTTCTAATCTCATAATGTTGTGGTCAGAAAAGATTCTAGGTATGATTTCAATTTTCTTCAATTTACTGAGGCTTGATTTGTGACCCAAGATATGATCTTTCCTGGAGAATGTTCCATGCGCACTTGAGAAGAAAGTGTAATCTGCTGTTTTTGGATGGAATGTCCTATAAATGTCAATTAAATCTATCTGGTCTATTGTGTCATTTAAAGCTTGTATTTCCTTATTAATTTTCTGTTTGGTTGATCTGTCGATTGGTGTAGAAGTCCCCCACTATTATTGTGTTACTGTCAATTTCCTCTTTTATAGCGGTTAGCAGTTGCCTTATTATGTATTGAGGTGCTCCTATGTTGGGTGCATGTACATTTATAATTTTTATATCTTCTTCTTGGATTGATCCCTTGATCATTATATAGTGTCCTTCCTTGTCTCTTGTAACATTCTTTATTTTAAAGTTTATTTTGTCTGATATGAGTATTGCTACTCCAGCTTTATTTTGATTTCCATTGGCATGGAATATCTTTTTCCATCCCCTCACTTTCAGTCTGAATGTGTCCCTAGGTCTGAAGTGGCTCTCTTGTAGTCAGCATATATATGGGTCTTGTTTTTGTATCCATTCAGCAAGCCTGTGTCTTTTGGTTGGAGCATTTAATCCATTCATATTTACGGTAATTATTTATATGTATGTTCCTATGACCATTTTCTTAAAAGTTTTGGGTTTGTTTTTGTAGGTCCTTTTCTTCTCTTGTGTGTCCCACTTAGAGAAGTTCCTTTAGCATTTGTTGTAGAGCTGGTTTCGTGGTGCTGAATTCTCTTAGCTTTTGATTGTCTGTAAAGCTTTTGATTTCTCCATCGAATCTGAATATGATCCTTGCTGGGTAGAGTAATCTTGGTTGTAGGTTCTTCCCTTTCATCACTTTAAGTATATCATGCCACTCCCTTCTGGCCTGTATAGTTTCTGCTGAGAAATCAGCTGTTAACCTTATGGGAGTTCCCTTGTATGTTATTTGTCATTTTTCCCTTGCTGCTTTCAATAATTTTTCTTTGCCTTTAATTTTTGCCAATTTGATTACTGTGTGTCTCGACGTGTTTCTCCTTGGGTTTACCCTGTATGGGACTCTGTGCTTCCTGGACTTGGGTGGCTACTTCCTTTCCCATGTTAGGGAAGTTTTTGACTATAATCTGTTCAAATATTTTCTCGGGTGCTTTCTGTCTCTCTTC